GGAGTTAGGTGGATAAGGCTGTAGGGCTATCTGGCTGCAAAGGACCTTAGGCTCCGCCCTGGAGTGGCAGATCTTGTATAAGCCACTAAACCCTGAAAATTCTAGTTGCTTTCTTTTCTCCTTCCTCTTTGTTGTGATGTGCCCTGGGGGAAAAAAATCACCCAGATATGGAGGAATGTTTGAAGTTGATTTTAGAAAATGAATACTTCAGATTCCGTGGTTGTGTCCTTGATGTCAACTCAACCAGCTGAAAAGTGTGTAAGGAGTCAGAGGAAGAAAAGTCAATCAGTCAGTTTCTTGTTGACCATGACTTCGAATCCTCAGTTTTACCAGTGGTTTTGAATGAATTGATTGGTATTTTGGCATGGTATCACATAACCTGAAGGTAAAGAATGGAAATATAAATTGGAAGTCAATTGTCCTTTTAAAAAGAAGAGTGCAAAAATACAAAAATCACACCAAAGCAACTGAATAAATTTATGAAATGAGATGGATGCTTTGAATTCTTTTTTTCTAATTACTGTCTTTATGATTTGTACATTGCAATTATATGGCATAAACCCTTCCTCCTGGCTCCCTGACCCCTCCCTTTTCTAACAAAGAAAAACAGCCAAGCAAAACCAATCAAATATGGCAGCCATGTGCATCTATGCCTGCCACATTTAGCTTCCATAGTCACCTGACCTTTGGATCCCACCATGGTCATTCACTTATTCTGAGTTCAGTTACCCTTTTTTGTTGTTTTAATTTACATTTCTGTGGTCATTTTATATATCTATATCTATATCTATATCTATATCTATATCTATATCTATATCTATATCTATATATACACATATACATATACACACACACATATATATACATATATATAGTTTTATATATAGATACACACATATATATATACACATATATATAGTTTTATATATATATATGTATATATAGTTCTCCTGTTTCTGCTTATTTTGCTCTGTATCAGTTCATCCAAGTCTTTCCAAGTTTCTCTGAATTCTTCATGTTCATCATTCATATTAATTTATTCAGTCATTCCTCAATCCATGACCATCCAGTCTTCTTTTGCTACCACAAAAGGTTTGCTATAGATATTTTGGCACATATGAAACCTTATTTTTTTTTTACTTTGATTTTCTTGGGGTTGTATTTCAATAGTTGGATCTTAAGTCAAAAGTTTAACTCTTGGGACAGCTAGGTGGTGCAGTGGAAAGAGCACAGGCCATGAAGTCAGGAAGACCTGAGTTCAAATCCAGCCTCAGATCAAACACTTGACACTTACCAGCTATGTGACCCTGGGCAAGTCACTTAACCCCAATTGCCTAACCAAAAAAAAAAAACATTTAATTCTTCAAATGCCATATTTAGAACCTGCCCTTATTTGGTAGGAAAAGGAGAGCCCATGGGAAGAGGACTCTGTTATTATTTACTATCTATTTAAGAAATGTTTCTAATCACAAACCTGAATTTTGACAAATATCTCCCCTGGAAGAGGAAGAGAGGGGCAATCATCAATGAAAGCACAGGAAGGTGTCTGGAGCCAATAGCTGAAACAGAAACAGGTATCCATTGTCTAGTGATAGTGGATATCATCTCAGGTAAGCTGGAAGCCAGAAAAATTCTGCCAGGGGCACAGGACCACAGCTGAGAAAAGAAAGGCAGTTTGGGAGGAGATTTTTGGTGGGAGTAGAATGAGGATGCCAATCTTAGGAGAGCAGTAAAAATTCTTTTTAAAAAGAATTAATAAAAGAAGGGAGAAAGGTAACCAAGCAGGGAAAATTCACTTCCTCACCTCTAGTCTAAATTGGATGATATGAAAATGTAGGTTAAGAGACAAGAGGTTATCCCAGTGAGAAACCCAGGCGGGACACCAGTAAGTCAAATCCTAGGCCATACTCTAGGGAGGAACTAGTAGCGTGGGCCCAGGTTGGCACAGTCTGCTAAATGAATCCATCCTGATGGTTTTATTGAATTTGAAAGAGTAGAAACAAAGGGCTCACACACTCTAGAGGCAGATTAAGCAGCTACCCAAAGTTCATTCTATTCCCAGCTAAAGATTATTTGCCTGGCATTTCCACCTACACAAGCATTTTGTGAACTTTATACAATGTTATAAAAAATGTAGCAATTAATTAAGCAATTAGCATGAATATTGCTCTTACTTTACCTGAGAGGAAATCTACTAGCATTTACTACTAGTGAAAATTAGTTTATCAAAGTAGCTGTCCTATAGAATCACTGTCCTGGAGGAATGAGACAGAGAAGTTTTAAGAGGGAAATAGTTGCTTGTGGAGATTAAGAACACGTGTTCCAAAGAAGGACAGACCCATGAGGGGATGTCTCTAGTCAGCCCTAGGAAGCCGGGGTCCTCTGGAGGCAGAGCACACTTAAACTTTTCCCTTGTTCACAATTTTGTCAAAGGTCAGCCACTAGAAACAATCCATCCATTATGGGACTGGAGTCAAGAGACTGGAACTACTGTCCCTGC